GATGCGCCAGGGGCGCGGGCTAATTTAGCAACCACAAACAGGCGCTGGATGCGTGCCCAAATGGAGATGTCTTCAGCAGGTCCAGAGCTGCTCACCAGGGGGTGAATGAATCCCTTGTAGACCAGCGAGACGTCCATCTCTGTGCTGGGATTAAGGGTGATGGTGGTGCTTCGGACAATGGAGACCTAGGGTAAGCAACAGCAATAGCACTGAAGACTTGTATACCGCTTCACGGTACTTTACAGCCCTCTCTAAGCAGTTTACAGAGTCAACATATTTGCCCCCAACAATCTGGGTCCTCATTTGACCAACCTGGGAAGGATGGAAGGCTGAGTCAACCTTGAGCTGGTCAGGATCGAACTGCTGGCAATCGGCAGAGTTAGCCTGCAATGCTGCTTTCTAACCACTGCGCCGCCACGCCAACAAGGGTTTAACCAGGAAGACATATAAATAACCCCACAAGAAAGGTGCCAGGCTTTGAACTATTACGCCAACAATGGACAATACTGAATAGGATTTGCACCTCACAGGGGCTCTGCCAGGACTCTCTGTATTAAATGAGGCATAGTGTCCTCCCCTCAGTGTGATTGCGGTGTCCCACATCAAACTGTAAATCACATCATGACTAGCTGTAAACTGAGGACATCTAGAATAGAGTAACAGAGTTGGGAGGGACCTCGGAGGTCTTCCAGTCCAACCCCCTGCTCAGGCAGGAGAACCTATCCCATCCCAGACAAGTGGCTGTCCAACCTCTTCTGAAAAGTCTACAGTGATGGAGCACCCACAACTTCCAGAGAGAAGCCGGTCCACCGATTAATTATTCTTCCTGATAAGTAAGTTCTAGATCGGATCTCACTTTGATAAGCTTCCATCCGTTGCTTCTTGTCCTGCCTTCAGGGGCTTTGGAAAATAGCTTGACTCCCTCTTCTTTGGGGCAGCCCCTGAGATATTGGAACACTGCTATCCTGTCCCCCCTCGTCCTTCTCTTCGTTAAACCAGACATACCCAATTCCTGCATTCCTTGTCATTTATTTGAGGGTTGTTAAATAAAGACAGCTCCTATGCCTGTGGTGGCGAACCTATGGCACGGGTGCCAGAGGCGGCACTCTGAGCCCTCTCTGTGGGCACGCGCGCCGTCGCCCCAGTCCTAGGCCTTCAGATGGATTTTATAAAACCTTTTTGCTTTAGGCCTCCGCCGCCGTGTGCAAAAAAAAAAAAAAAAGGTTCAATCAATCAATTTCAACTTCTCCTGGGGAAAAAAAAAGATCTCGCAAAGTTGGAATTGATTGATTGAACTTTTTAGTCCCACCCAGTCTGCCGTTACCACCGCAGCCACGCCCACCCAATGGGCCACACCCACCCAATGGGCCACACCCACCCAATGGGCCACACCCACCCGGCACTCGACGATGCATAAGTGGGTTTTGGGTTGCAGTTTGGGCACTCGGTCTCTAAAAGGTTCGCCATCACTGCTTTACCTTGTCTGGCTGGGAGTCGTTGCGTGGCTGCTGGTAGGTAATCAGATGAAGGCCAGGCAAGAAATTTTCCCGCTGGCAATGGGCCAAGGAAGTGATAAAGAAGGACTGCGGCCCCCACCAGCCATACGTTCCAGAAATCTTCCCCACTTGGCATCTGGCCTGTTCTGGAGAAGGAAAAAGAAGCAGGTTAGGAAAACACAGAGGCAGCCTGGATCTCACATTGCCATGGCAGCTTCAATTGCACCGCGGAAGCCCCCAATCTGGTTTTATCTGGGACCCACGCAGCATACGAGAAGAAAAAAAGAGGCGAGATCTCAATCCTGAGAGCTAACCTCTTCCTTTCTAGCCCCGATGATGTTACCGTGTTTGGTAATGAAACGTCTGCAAGAAAATAACCAGGCTTACAGACTAAGGACCCCTCCTTTCAACCCTTGAAGTACAAATATTCTTTATTATAAATGAATGAACCTTTATTATCAAAGTATAACATGTATACGGTGAGATTGGCTGAGCCTCCCTCCGTGCCCACACCCACCACAACTCACAGTGAATACAAACCCCCAACTTTTTACACCCTGTGAGCTAATTGCACAGCACGCCGGCCTCACGAGTCTGTCATGCATGAAATTATTATGTCCCATTCAAGAGCCTGAACAGCCCATGGATAAAAGCTGTTCTTCAGCCTGTTGGTACGGCTGGCTATGTTTCTGTATCTCCTACCCCAGTGGTGGCGAACCTATGGCACGTGTGTCAGAGGCGGCACTCAGAGCCCTCTCTGTGGGCACGCGCGCCATGCCCCGGAGATGGCAACCGTCCCTCTTCAAGCAGCCGCCCGCTAACTCGCCGAGGTCCCACGTGGCCGGAGGCATCCCAGCACGGCTGGCTTCCCTCCCCCCCTCCGTCCCATCCCTCCTGGCCTCACATGCTCTGCTTTTCCCAGGCACAACCCACTGCATCACCTCCTCAGCTGTTGGCCGTCCGTCCAGCTCAGAGGCGGCTTCTCTGAACTGCTGGCGGCGGGCTGTGGAGCCCCCGAGTGCGCCGGTCGAGGGGCTGGCAGGCTGTGGCTGCTGATGGACACTGTTGGCTCTGTGTGCGGGGGCCGATGGTGTCAGGCAGCAGCTGCCCCGGCCCCTGCCTTGCCTCGCCCTGCGACAATGGCACCCTCGCCCTGCCTCGCCTCGTCTTGCCTCGCCTCGCCCCACAGGATGAGCCTCCTGCCCACCGCCCCACCTGCCAGAGACCCCCTGGATCTCCCCCAACCCTACCTGGCCCCCACAGGTGTCCCTGCCCACGAACAACATTGAGGTGACCACGCCCACCTTGGCCACACCCACCCAGTCTGCCATGACCGCCATAGCCATGCCCACCCAGTGGGCTACACCTACCTGGCACCCCACCCGGTGATAAATAAGTGGGTTTTGGATTGCAGTTTGGGCATTTGGTCTCTAAAAGGTTACTCTAAAAAGGAGAGTAAAGAGGTACCAACCAGGGTGTGAGTCATCCCTGAGGATTTTCCTCACTCTATCAAGGCAACGGGTCCTGGCGAGGCCATCCAGTGGTGTCAGGGAACAGCCCACGATGTCTTGTGCCGTGCTCACCACCGTCTGTAATACCTTCCGGTCCGCGGCCGTCAAGCCAGCATACCAAACCACAATACAGTATGTGAGAACATACTGTTATTGATTTCAATCCTGCAGGGGTGGCCCAAGTTTGAGGACCCCTGCTTTATAGAATGCTATTAGGATTCTGGGCTTCGTATCTTGATGTTCTCCAAGCCGACAGGCTACCATAAAGCTCCATCCTTAAAACGAGGACTTGCCGGGACAAGCAGTTACCTGTGATGGGCATGCAGGTTTCGTTTTGCACACACCAGCCAAAGGGACCTGAAGCTCGGGGCAGGGAACCGTTGGTGTCACCAAAGGCGAGGCATGATTGGCAGTCGACTAAGAGGCGGGCCAGGCCCAGACAGCCACTGTTGGGGCACTAGGAAGAAAGAACATCAGTCAGGAAAATGTCTATTGAAATTCTCAGTCCTCCAGATCCTGGTTGTCCCCAAGGTGCTTTTTCTTTTTTTTCTTTAAAAAGTTTTTATTGGGTACAAAGGAAAAAAAAAGATTAAAAACATTGAACATGGTAAATCGTCTTCGGCTGACATCTCAGTCCTTATTGTACACTAGCTGTACCCGGCCACGCGATGCTGTGGCTCAGTCTGGTTTGTTTTTTTTCCAAAAAAAGCATGGTTTTACCTGTCACGGGTGTGACATCTATATAATAGTAGCTATATAAAAACACGCGCGCATTCGAATGCAACGTTGTGTCAAAATTTCAAAGCAATCGGTGAAGAACTTTCGGAGATTTCAGATTTTGAACAAAGGAACATTTACATTTGTATTTATATAGAGAAGATTAATTACATATAATATATCTATATACAACTGTACATTTCTGGTCTCTATCTTAACTTATCTCTTTGCTGTGACCTCCATATTTTTTTCCCCTCCATCTATAAAATGTATTCCATATTTGACAAAATTCTGTTTCTTCCTGGTTTTTTTAATCTTTTGGTTATCCTATCTAATTCTGCGCAATACATAATTTTCTTAATTAGTACTTCCCCACTCGGTACTTCCATTGCTGTCCACTTTTGAGCAAACAGTATCCTTGCCGCCGTAACCACGTGAATAATTAGATACGTGTCATCTTTATTTACATTTTTCTCTAGTATTCCTAATAGTAATGTCTCAGGTTTGCATTGAATGTTTTGCTTAGACATTTCTGTTGCCCATTCCCAGACCGTA